GTTCATAATCTCAATCAAAAAAAATAATAATCTCCACAACCCCTATACTAGTAATCAACATGTGCTCACTAGTGACTAGCTTCGTGAGGGAATTTTCGGAGTTCTAGTGAGAAGCCGTGACCAGTGGAGCTAATCCATGTCGGGTAGAGACAGGTATCTATCTCAGTACAATGAAGTCGGTCGCGCAATTTCGTGGATTGGTTTATGTTAGACACTATCACCATTGTATGCCGGCTCAGTTGTCCAATTGGTTAAGCGTTCGCGCGCGAGACTGAAGGCCCTGGGTTCGAATCTCGTGGGGTGCGGAACGTGGATGCGCACAATAATACGAAACGGCCGTCCAGTGTTTCTAGGTTTCCAAAGGCGGTGGTCTAACATCAATCTGTTCACGATCTCAATAAAAAAAGTCTACCGAATGCTAACTGGATAAGATGTTCTTCAGCATTTCCAGAGCTTTTTCTTGCTTTTTTTTTCGAGGGATTTGCTGGATCAACCCAACACTACCTATTAGAGTGGTCTTACAAATCTAAAAGCATGATACTGATTTATTAAGGAATAAATAAAGAAGCTATTGATAGATACAAGAACTATACCTGCAGTGTGACTGATTTAGCTTCAAATATTTTAACTAAGAAAAATAAACCATTTAGTTGCTGTCACTTGATTTGATACAATTTTACCAACTGTAACTTCATAAAAGATTTAACGATCAATATACTTTTTACTGAATTCTCTTAGTCAACTGATAATGATTGACATGTGACTGAAACATACAGTCAATATGAAAACAACAATAAAATAGTATCACCTTGAATTTTTTTAACTATAATGATGTTTTATAAAATACAATGAATGGACTATGGATAGTAATGGAATCCAAGACAGGCGTTTCCCTTTAACTGAAGCTCACTGACTGGATTTACCTAGATCCAATTGGTAATGTTTGAGTCCACGTGTGAATATCAACATTAAGGTACAGACACACCACTGAGACTATAGTTTATAAACGACCTTTGAATGATGTCTTAGTGACTTTGGGAATGTTCACCCACTGACTAAGGCTAAATGAGAGTTACAAAACAGTTTGAAGAATAAGGATTATGATATTTAGTTGATAGTCAGAGTTAGGGACTAGATTTAGAGTATTTATCACGAACTGAAATAAGTTATAATGCAAAAATGCTATTTAGACAAATGAGTGAATGAATTTCGCGTCAAGATCCAAGACCGATTATCTTAAATCTGATTGGCTCATCCACAATTCGTGGTCTCGCCAACTATCTGACGGGTTCAGAAAAGAAATGAATCATAATAATGTATGTTTTCGAAGCTTTTCCAAATATAGTTGGTCATATTTTGAACCTTATGTTAAGTAGTGCTTTGATTTACACGTTGTAATATTACCACTTTCTTATCTTGCAGATTTACGTTAGACACAAAATGAAGTTGCAATGTACCCTTGAAATTTAGAGGGAAATAATCTGACTATCAAAATAACAATAATACTAATAATAATAAGGATGAAATCACAAATATTTGTATATCATGTCATTTTTAAAGCACCACAAAACTAGTTTCTTTACTCTGAAGAAGTGGTTTACATTAAGTCACGAAACGTCAGAAATACCATTTTTCTACTCATTGGGATATTGAAAAAATACCTTTATTATTAACTTTCTACCTAATGCTCAATTTATTTGAAGCTTTTAAGTCCAACCTTGGTATTGATACCCAAAATTATTTGTAGTTTAGATGTTTGATTCATCAATATTACAAACGATTGCGTATTTACAAAAAATATTTCACAACATTCTTTTAAAAATGCATTATGAGAACTTATGGTTTATTTAAGATGTGATTTGTAATGAGATTCAGGGTGCTTATTTCATTCTATTTAGATTCATTATATAAATGTATCTATTACTTCAGTGAGCTGATATTCATACTGAAACCTGACATCCAGTGAATTCCTATACTCAGTACCTTAGTGAATAATATATTGACGTTTAAAATGATGGATACTGAGTTTAAGTCATGATCACTAACCACTAACTAATGTGATAAGTTCAAGTTTGTATAGGAGCTTTCTTGACAGAGATTCCAGAAGAGTTAATTAACATTTAACCCTATTCAATTATATGTCAATCACTCAACAATCATTAATAATTGACTTTTATCATAATAAATTGAAAACAAGTACAAAAATAAATACATTATTGATATAATAATTACCTACATACTGCAAAATCAGTGCAAATCAATAAACGGAATTTATTCTGAATAGATTAATATAACGAGTATTTAGTAATTTTAATAGTTGAATTCATGAGTCGATATAAGGTAAACCACGCTTTAAAACCTGGAAGCACTGGACAACCGCTTCGTTTTAGTATAGGACCTGTTGGGTAGAGACAGGTATCTACCATAGACAGCGGAAGAATGGTTGCGTAGCCATTCATGGATCGATTGAAGTCAGACATTAACACCGTTAGGTGTGGGATTAGTGGTCTAGAGTTTAAGAATTCACTCACGAGACCGAAGGCCCAGGGTTTGAATACCACAAGCGGGATCCTATATGCTTACTGCTGAGGAGTCCCACAACAGGGCTAAACGACCATCCAGTGCTTTCAGGTTTATAATGGTGGTCTAATATCAATGGGTTCATGATCTCAATCGAAAAATAAACAATTAGATTCTAAATAATTTGTCTCATTCAATACTCATATAATGTACTTTTCATTGATAAATATACGTTATCCACTCGTTGGAAAGAGTAAATTTAGGTAAAAAATAATAATAGAATTATCACCACAGTAAAAAACAAATACACAGATTGATGTCCATCAGTAAATTACTGAATATCAGAGAGTACTGAATAACTATTTCTTCCTAATTCTGACCTCGTCAGCGAATGATTTAAATTTAAAGGAGTGAACAAAATTAATTATTGTTTAAATCATAAGCTACATCATAACATTAAATTGTTACTAAAATATTCAGGTTTCGTTGAGAATTAATAGATATATCGTCCAAGAGTATGTTGTCTGTATTGTATGTATTTTACTCTTGAACACTAGTATACTACTTCTAAGTAGTTGACCTTGTTTTGGAAAAATTCTAGAGTAAATGATTCCATTTTCAAAACTAGTAATATTATCTATTCTGAACTAATTGGAACATGTAAAATTAACCTAATAAATAAATAAGGAAAAGTGGGCATCTTTTATTACTAGGGACACATCCAGAAAACATTTATCTTTGCCATATGATTTGTGAATGTAACCTTGAACATTATTTTCCCTGGAAAATTCATCAATAATAACTTATTAAACAAACCTAGTCTGTTGATTAATGTGATAACGGTTGAGATTCAAAGTGTATTTTTTTAATTATGTATCCTGATCTAAAGACTATTTCAACCAATTTCATGAGCCAATCCCATGCTTTTTTATTACGAATAGATTTAATTGAAAGATTTAAATTAGAGTTCACATTCGATACAGTTTAAACATGGATCTTATATGATTAGATCTATTATGAATTAAATTTACAATTTATGGATTATTTTATAAATCGTTTAATTAACGTAGAAATATCCGAAGTTCATCAACTTAATACAACAAACTACAGAAACACATTGAAAACAGTTTTGTATTTTCAATGGTTGAGGTCATGAAGTTAAACCATCATGGAAAACCTAGAAGCACTGAACGACCGTTTCGTCCTATTGTAAGACTCCTCAGTTTTGTATTTATTAATGTATCTTAATGTAGTTCTGAGGAGGTTAAGATTGTACACTGTTATTGTATAATGTTTCGAATTTGAATAATGTATCATTACATTTCATTTATTTTATTGTTTAAACTACGACATGGTACTTAGCAAATTTACTGTTTAAAAAAATAGCTATTATCTAATTGACTGACATGTGAAAAACTGTGTTCGTTTGTTAATAAAATCTCAAGTGCTCTGTTATAATGTGAGATTAATATGTACTCAATATTATGGAATGTTGCGTAATTTTGATGAGATTAGATAATGAAATCAGTCAAGCTGATTGAAGAACTAGTAAGCTTAAGTTACTGTTAAGTAGATTTTAATACAGTAAGGAGGTTTTTTGAAGACTGTAGGAATTTAATAGCTCAATTCATGAGTCAATTCAAGCTAAACCACCATGGAAAACTTGAGAGCACTTGACGGTCGTTTCGTCTGTTCTGAGCCAGTGTCTCACTAAAGACAATGGTGGACGGTGGCTCAATTTCGTGGATTGGTTGAAGTTAGACGTTAACACTGTCAGGTGCCGGCCAGCTCAGTGGTACAGAGTTTGAGCAGTGGCGCGCCTGACCGAAGGTTCCGGGTTCGAGTCTCGCGAGTGGGGCCGCGGATGCGCACTACTAGGGAGTCCCATACTAGGACAAAACGGCCGTCTAGTGCTTCCAGGTTTTCCATGGTGGTCTAGCTTTAATCGACTCACGAATTCGACCATTATATTTTGATGAAATATAAGTAATTAATTATATTATTTACACTAAATGTGTTAAACTTTGGAAGCTAACGAAACTACATCTGTCAGTATGGGGGTTGTGGAGATTGTTAAGTTTTTGGTTGAGATCATGAATCAATTGATGTTAGACCACCGTTGGAAACCTGGAAGCACTGGACGGCCGTTTCGTCCTAGTATGGGACTCCTCAGCAGTGCGCATCCACGATCCCGCACCCCGCGGGATTCGAACCCATCTTTTAATTCCATAATACGATCAATAATTAAGTCGTATGCTCATAGAAATGAATTAGACATATTTAGTGAATATTAAAAATGATTTTTTCATAAACTACACGGTACAACTCATTATTTATTGAAGAGCATTCATGAATATTTTTTATCTAGTTATAATGTGTATGTTGTAACGGGTGTGGTAGATTTTATCACAACTCCAGGTCATCCGTCAAATTTATATTATATATATATATATATATATATATATATATATATATATAAACTGGACTGCGTGAACTACTCTTGTGATTTACGCTCAAGAATGTGGAAAGTTAAGTGACCATTTTATTTCCATAGTTGAAATCACGAGTCGATTAAAGCTGGATCACTTTGAAAAACCTGGGATCATTGGATAGTCGTTACGTCCTATCGTGGGACTCTTCAGCATTGCTCATCCACCACCCTGTCTCGCGAGATTCGAACCCAGGATCTATCAGCCACTAGACCACTGAGCTGGTCGGCCTCCAACGTGTTAATCTCCAACTTCAACTAATCCATCATATTATTATTATCACTAATATTGGATTTGTGCTAGTGTCCAAATGGAAACTATTTCTCAAGGTCAATAACACATTCAATATTTCATTGGTCTATTACTAAAACTATTTATAAATGGGTATATACGTATAAGTTGGATGGCAGTGATTTATTGATCAATTTTCATAAATGAAATTCGTGAAAAAAAAAACACAACAATAACAAATGAAGGTCAGTGGAATAAGCGTGGAATAGACGGACAAAAACATATTCATTAGTTGTGTGTACGTGTGTATTGTTTTATGTGTTTTGGAATTTTTTTTATCAAAATGTCCGAGGAAGTGAAGTTCATATGACGTTTATCGTGTAATAGTGATAAATAGTAATAAGATAGGCAGAAAGAAAAGGTGAAGTAAGCGAAGAAAGCCCCCACCCCCTCCCAGCAAATTAGACATGCATAGTAATTAAAAGTTTATACAAATTAAAATAATCAATATTAAAAATTAAAAAAAAAAAACAAATAAACTAATCAATTAAGACATAATAACATTTCGTAACGCAAAATAGTCTAGTATATTATGTAATAATGTTAAACATCAAATACTTTCATTCTGATCAATATTTTTATTTATAGATTTGTACGAACAAGTGATAATAACAATTCACGATAATCTCCGCTGGTATCATCCTACAGTTTAATTAAAAAAATATATAATAATAAAAAAAGGATTAGAATAGCAATATTATCCATTTTATAAGGGGAAATAGAAGTTGATCAGTCTTTCACATTAACAACAGGGAATGACAAAACCTTATTAACAACTTTATATTCTGATTGAGATCATGAACCGATTAATATTAGACCACCTTTGGAAACCTGGAAGCACTGAACGGCCGTGCTCACTAGTGACTAGCTTTGTGAGGGAATTTTCGGAGTTCTAGTGAGAAGCCGTGACCAGTGGAGCTAATCCATGTCGGGTAGAGACAGGTATCCATCTCAGTACAATGGAAGTTGATCGCGCAATTTCGTGGATTGGTTGGTGTTAGACACTATCACCATTGGATGCCGGCTCAGTGGTCCAGTTGGATAAGCGTTCGCGCGCGAGACTGAAGGTCCTGGGTTCGAATCTCGTGGGGTGCGGGATCGTGGATGCGCACTGCTGAGGAGTCCCACAATGGGGCGAAACGGCCGTCCAGTGTTTCTAGGTTTCCAAAGGTGGTGGTCTAACATCAATCGGTTCATGATCTCAATGAAAAAATTAATAATGTACACAACCCCTATACTAGTAACTTTATATTCATTGAACAAGTTAATGAACATATGATCTTATTAGCTTAAGGGATAATATTTTGGGGTTAGAAGTGAAAGATTTTAGATTAGAATGTCAGTATGAATACCACAACTGAAATACAAGTATATGTGGCTGATTTGTCCTGAATAGGGAGAAATGTACTTCCTGAATTTCACTACTAATCACATACAAAATATACTAGAAATGATAGACTCATTATTCCAAATAAATGAGGTTTGAAACCGGATAGGAATCACTGTCACACCATTTATATCCTATTGACGTTGAAAATAGTACACTCTGTAATTTTATTGTATAATTGTATCTATTAGCACATATTCTTGAAAAGTAATTTATACCAAATGTAACTTCAAATGTATATGAGACAATTCATTACCCAGTTTTGTTTGTTGCTTTGACATATATTTCAGTGTTCAATAGTTCACTATCATTAATACTAATATTTTCACTTCTTTGATTTTCAGTCTGTTAATTTACTCCCTAATGGTGTCGGCGTAAAGTGTAACACATTTATTTCAGACCATACACTGAACATAATTGAACTGTATAAGATATTATTCGGGATAATGATAGGCTGGACTAGCATATAATCATATTAAGTGTCTGTATTCGCATCTTATCCTACGGTCAGGTGGTAGGTCGGAAATTGTAAACACTATTAGAATAATTCGATCGAGCACTTAGTCAAGGTTTCACTCAATGTGTCCTTGACTATTAGAAGTACATTCATATATATAAGTGAAGTCAAATATTTAATTCCAATAACGTCACCAGTAATAAATTATTTTTAACTTACTTTAATCCAAGCTTCTAAGGAATCACCAGCTAGATCGTAAAATTCTCTCTTAATCAAATGCAAATCAATTTCACAACGTGACACTACAATACGAATCAAATCTCTGTCATTAGTTCCAACTCCTTTCATAGATTTTCTTAATCTTTCAGCAAAATATAATGCTTTGTTATTTGCACACTGAACTGAAAGGTTTTAAAAAAAGTATTGTTAAATTTGATACAAAATGAATATAATAGTTGAGTTCATCAGTCAATTGAAGCTAGACCACCATGGAAAACCTGGGATCACTGGACTGGCTTCAAGAGGTATTTCCTGGGGCTCTAGTGAGAAGCAGTAACCAGTAGAGTTCAACTGGGCCTGTTGTGATATAGTAACTCAATGAAGACAATGGTGGACGGTGGCTCAATTTCATAGATTAGTTGAAGATAGACATTAACACTGTTGGATGCCAAACATCCTAGTAGTCTAGAGGTTAAGCGTTCGCGTGCGAGAACGATAGGTTCTGAGTTCGAATCTCGCGGGACAGGACCGTTTATGCATGCTGTTCAGGATAGACCGTAACGGCCGTCCAGTGTTTCCAGAATTCCATGTTGATCTAACTTCACAAAACCTGTTTCTGATAACAAAATGAATATTCACCAAAATAGAAAGAATCTAATATTTATCATTATGAAGTCATTATTATTCTCATTCAGTCACTAACATTAATTAGAAAACTATTTTCATTCAAAACTTCTCATATGTGCATATTTACAATTGTACAATTGTACAATGGGTTGAACTCAAAATTGTTAGATTTTTCTATAATCAATGCACAAAATCTTAATGTCACTCAAATGAAATTCCAATTTGTAATTGCAGTTAACTCAGTATATTGTGTAACCATGAAATTTTGCATCGGTACACAAAACATATAAAACCTAGTTAGGGTAATAAACGGACTAATGTCAAGTGTAATTCATGAGTTAATTAAAGCTAGACCATCATGGAAATCCTGAAAGCATAGGACATTACATTGATATAAACCATGAAACTTGGTTTTTGCTAATAGTAAACCATGATTCGTATAATTCGAAAAGAAAGATGAAATTGATAAATAAAAATTTTATCAGAAGGGATTTTGTGGAGATTTTAGAAATTTCACCGGTTGAAATCATGAGCCAATTGAAGCTAGACCACCATAGAAAACCTGGAAGTACTGGACGACCGTTTGTCCTGATATGGTACTCGAATCTTGCGGGGCGCAAGATCGTGGATTCACACTACTGAAGAGTCCCATACAAGGACGAAACGGTCGTCCATTGCTTCCAGGTTTTCCATGGTGGTCTAGCTTTAATTCACTCATGATTTCAACCAGTGAAATAAAGTTATTTAGCACAAAAATTAAACCAAAATGATATTTAAACTTATAGATTTCAATATGATTCACTTTTATTTATCAAATAAATTAAATCTGGTAGCACCAGATATGAATTAATCAATAATGAAATGCATGAACATGATTTACAATATCATAAAATTAAGCTGTTATGGTCACAAAAATGTAACTAATTTATTGACCATGTTTTTAACCAAATGTCATAAACAATTAGAGGAAATCAATTTTACATGTTACCCATTCTTCAATCAATTAAAATTTTGCCCCACCATATTGTTCGTTCATTCTATTTTTTATCCTCTGAATTTGGACATCTGGTAAAATGACTATCGGTCTAAAAATCTGGATCTTAATATTTGAGTTCACGAGTTAATCTAAGCTGAACCATGATTGGATGGCCGTTTTGTCCTAGTATAGGACTCCTCAGCAGTATGCATTTACAATCCAATATGCAGGTCTCAAACCCAGTACTTTCAGCTTCGCGCGCGAACGCTCAACCTCTAGACCACTGGACCGCGATCTAAAGGCTTTAGTGTATAACCTAGATAGATTGCGCAATCCGTCAATCCACCCAACACGGATTGAACTCCATGGAATCCATCTCGGAGCTAGTCACTAGTGAACATATGAATAATATCAGGATAGAGAGTTATGAAGAATGTAGTATTTTAACAGTTGAATTCACGAGTCAATCTAAACTAAACCACCACTGCAAACGTGGTAGCATTGGATTGACTCGTAAATTCAACTGTGAAAATACCACAATCTCCATAAATCTAGACCTCACCAAATCTAAGAAACTGACAATTGTAAAAACTAGTATATATAACGCGATCCTGACCAATGTACAATAAGTGAGTTTAATCCAACTCTCCAATCTCCATTGTAATTGAATATCTTAATATCAGATATACTAATATCTTCCTTATGTACATCTTAATAATTGGTAGAGTAATCAGAAAGTATATTTAATCTCATTTATCAAATTTCAGCATTAAGATTTTAGTTGAGGCTCAAATCTAAGAGTCCCCAAGTACTGAGTTACAAGATTTTTTTCTGATCAATTATTTAACAGATTCCCATAACAACACATTTCCAAACAAGAAATAGATTAGTAGACAGTCAATGGTTTGATGCTTTAAGTGATAACCCTTATTATCTATGATTAACTGATATAAAACGTGTCAGATATATGATTATAATACCTGTTACAAATACACACTCCAAGAAACAAGTTAAAATGTTTAACGCGGCAAAACTGCGAATATCCTTCACTAGTAGAAACTTATTGTCTGTGTCCATAAAAGATAAGCTTCCGCGTCTAGTCGCCTCCATGTGCATCTACCAGTTCACCTGCTCTTGTGGAGCAAGGTACATTGGCCGTAGCCAGCGCTCGCTTTCAACTCGGATACGAGGACATATCCCAGCCTGGTTCTATAAGGGTGAAAGGAAAGCAGTAAGGAGTTCTATACTTGAACACCTAATCGACTATAACCATTCAACAGATCCACAAATTGACTTTAAGGTTGTTTATATGATTCGTTCAAATCTACCCAGATTTCTTCGTATCCAACTTTTAAAAATAGCCGAAGCTCTTGGCATCCAGGAGCTTAAACCAGAACTATGCGTACAAAAGAAGTACGTCTTATCGTTATCGTTACCTTGGCCTTAATTAGTTTGATTATCCTACTATTAATGTTATCATTATTATTATTATTACTGCATTCCCCCTTTACTTATGTCTTATATTCTCATTGTTTTATTCATGAACGCTCATCATATCAGTTTATTTTTGTACACCTCTATGACCTTTAATTATGATATCAAAAACATTTTAATCATTTTAATCATCTTATTATAATCACTAAATCTATTGTTATTGTTATTATTCATATTACGTAATCTAGTATTATAACCCTCTTTTTATTAACTGTGTTCACATTTCCTCACGGAATTAGTACTTTTACAAAAACAAAAATTTTCATATATATACGATTGTACAGCTTGATAATAAATTCGTTGAAACGAGATCCCTTCGCTGAAATTCGTGTTTTAATTTTAAAATGTTTACATCTATAACATCTCCTTACTTAGTATTTGTTAATTTTTATAGTTTAACTTATGAAATGATAACCACTCAAAACCAGGAAGCATTAGACAACTATTACATTCTAGTATTACACTCTTCTACAGTACGGACCTATGATGAAAAAAGGGACAAAATCCAGTGCTACCTGGATTTCAATGATTGTTCAACTAAGTTAAGTTTGTGATGAAAACGATGTTATATTATCTTTGACAGACATAATTTGTAAAAGTGAATCTGACATTTCTTAGTGGTAACTGAATGTAAATTATAGGCTAAAAACGACATGTTAAACTGATTATTATTGTGATTTTAATTATGTGAATAACAAAATGAATAAAACAGTGACATACCAATGGCCAAAAGACACTGTAGTAAACTTCCTGACATTTCAGATTTCAAAGCTTCTTCCAAAGTTTTCTTACTAAAATTACTGTATTCTCGACATACGGCTTTTAAATGTTCAGGAGATCGTGTAGCAAAAACTTGAATAAATCTATTATTTACAAAATGATCAAAAGTAAATAAAATTGCTTTAATTCATAACGAATATCACCTGAAGACTATGGATAAGTAGAAAACGTAACACACTTTAAACCTAAACACATCAGGGAGTAATCTTAGACAACCACTGATAGGCAGTAGGACTTGGATAGTTACTTCACTCTAGCATGAGATTACTCAGTAATGTGTGTCCATCACCTCGGAATTCAAACACAAGACCTTCGGTACTGTAGAATTTGCTTACCTTCTAAATTACTGAGGTAGGATCCACCTCAAGTACTTGAAATACATTTCAATACTCATATGTCCACAAAAACTGACATTGTTTATAAAACTGCATCTACAACTGATCCCTGACAATTCAAATATATGATGAAGAAACGTCTTTCTATATCTTTCAATTCATAGGCTATACGTATTTAGTTTCAGATTTAATTTCTGTTGAAAAAGCAGTGATATCATTCGGATCCACAAATTGTTAGCTAGAATAGGGTACAACTCTTCAAACAAATGTTTGAAAATCGATTGTTTCAACCAATAACTCAAAAAATTTAGGCTTCGCTATTTGGAAGCAAAGGCTTATAAAGTCAATTGATTTACAAACGGGAAAGTATTCCGGAATCAATAATTAACTGTTTTGGGTATGATAAGATGATTGAACCTGTAAAAATATATGAGTTTTTAGTTTGTTGGTGATAAGTTAGTAGTTAGAAGATACTAAATCTTTACCCAATAAGTTGTAAACTTCACCCTTGTTCCGCTTGACTTACTTTATCCAGTCGAATACCCCTCAAACAACTGGAGTGTGGCTCAGAGGCGAGTACACAGACATGTACTTAATACAAAAGTTGTTCGATGACTTAAAGTTTTAAAAGGCTAATAAATAAATATTAAAGATAACTTTAATTATCGATGGAACAATAGATAAAATATATTTATATACAGCCAGAGGTGCGTGTTTCTTTCTATTTGGGACTAATCTCTTGCAGTCCTAAACATCAATGGAAAGATTCAAACAAACAATACAAAGTGAATTTAGATCTTAGACATGTTACATGTAGTAGTAATCAACATATTCTCTAATTTATGTTATGTTTAAATTAAACAAGAATTGGATGGAACTAGAAAAGAAGGCCCAGGACAGAGTGGGTTGGAGAATGCTGGTCAGAGGCCTATGCTCCATTGGGAGTAACAGGCGTAAGTAAAGTAAGTAAGTTAAATTAAACAGCTTAATGAAGTCATGAATAGATAAACTCACCCAAACAATTAAAATTATTTATAGTTGTGAGTGATTTCATTATATAAAACTGAACTATATTAAATAGTTTACACTCACTTTGATTCATTAGTTCCCCATTTTTTTTCACCTGCTTGATACAGGGCTTCAGCATCTTTACGTGCAAGTTGTTGATCAACATGTATGGATTCATCTCTGTTTGCTTGTAATAATGCAATACATAAATGTTTAAAATCTCCAGATGTATCACCACTTACATCATTTTCAAGATTACGTCCAGTGAATACTATAATGAGTGAAATAAATTGGGAAACCCTTATTATTAAGAAAAATGTAATTAATTGTACCTATTACATAAGTGAGTGTGTTTCTGGGTTGTTTTTTTTTGTAAATTCAATATCATCGTTCAATGTGTTATAATTATAAGACTTTGAGAATCCTGTACTAGATTGTACCATATTTTGTTGTAAATTGATTTAGTTCATTATAGTTCTGTTCTATGAACGTTTGAGAAATTCCTTTATTACTAACGAGGTGTATCTATCGAATAGATCGGATGATTAATACACAACATGTCAACAGATACCTTCTCCCTAAAGGATGGTTTATAGAGGAGAGAAGTTTTAAGTGAAGATTTATTGATCAAGATCCCAGAAGAATTGTATATCGTTTAATCTCAAAGATTAATAATTATGAAATGTATTGAACTAATCCATCGTTACTTGGACATAAAATCGCACCGTATTAATTTATAAAATAAAGATAAACTAAAAACAAGATAAAATCACTTCGATATTAATGAAAACACATTTAAAGCCGATGAACACAGTTCACTTCAACAATGACTAAATCTGATATTTGAGGATTTAACACTCTCAATACCTTTAATTTCAATGAGATGTCACTCCACATGGTATTCTTCCAAGAGCCAATAAATCGCTATTTCGATTGTATAGTTAGGGTTGTTGTAATAATTGTAATCCATAGCTGTTCACACCCATATGTCAACTGGGACAGTCTTTAACATGAACAACTGGCAAAGACAAACCATTAGGAATGGGTCCTGATTGTTTATATAAGGAGTAAATCAACGATTATAAAAATAAGTAAAATGTTAAACATTCATTACAACCACTCTACTCAAATGTAATAGTTCATTGAGTAGATCTAATTTTTAAATTATTCAGAGTCACGCTCCGTTTACAAGCAATTAGAATGAAGATGCTTATTTACACATGAGACATATAGTCCTTATTGAAATCCTTAGAAGCCAGAGACAACAGTTTTCCCTCATTACCCTTTTTTTCACTGGTAGCATAACAGGTTAGTTTTTTTTGGCAAGGTTATTTTCTACTGTCAGCCAACACCAAAGTCAGAATCTTTAATACGAACGTGACGACAGTAGGTTCTACTGTACAGAGCTGAAATTTCGAGAACTGCCACGACCATCATCAAAAAGGTACAAGTATTTATAAACAATTACCCACGAAATATACTGTCTGTTGACCATGCATCATCAGCAACAGCCTACTGTGGAAGAGAACAAACCAGGTTCCAGCTGAGGAGGAACTTAGGAAAAGATAATGGAGGTGGAGAGGACACACATTACAGAAATCAACAAACTGAATCACGAAGCAAACGCTAACTTGGAATCCTGATGGAAAACGGAACAGGAGACGACCAAGAAAAACACTGCACTGAGAATTGGAAACAGACATTAAAAGAATGATTAGGAACTGGAAACACCTGGAAAGGATTGCTCAAGACCCAGTTCGATGTAGAATGCTGGTGGGTGACCTATACACCTCCACGAGGAGAAACAACCGTCACTAACTAAGTAAGTAAGTAAACTTAACAGCTAGTAGGTGTTCATCACCTTCTCTTCGATTACATTTCAAGGAATTAACCTATTTTCAATGCTTTATGCTGATAACACTTATCTTAACAAATAAACTGAATGACAGCTCCAAAAAGAAATGTTTTTGTCTTCTACTCATCTATTCGTCATTAGTATTTGTTGATAACCAATAGATTATGAAATTCGGTGGAATTTAGAAATAACTAAGTATTTATTCCAGAGGAACATTATACAAAATATTGTGTAACAGTTTTCAGAATATTTCTTAATGTTCAATAAATATTTAAATGTTTTTTTTGCAACTCAAATAAACATGCCTTTGACTATCAACATTACATTGTCATTTAATAGATAAGTGTATCACTGTTTAAGTTATTCCTTTATCAGCACACCAAACTAGACATACGTATATATATATTTTTTTCTTAGAAACCGCCAATATTTACCAAGCAAATTCATAGAGAGAGATATAAACTTACATACTTTCTCAATTACAACCGTAATTAGAAAGATGTTGAAAAAAAAACAGTATGGCGTTTCATGTGAATAGATAAGACATAATATTGACTTTGGTAGTAAAAAAAATGGTAAATTGATTGAATTTATTTTATGAAAAAAAGATATACTCTAATGAAACTTGTTATAAACAAGTACAAAAGTTATTCCACTTTGTACACTTTGAACATCTACGACTCCACAAAGAGGATCGAACCTAGGACCTCTAGACTCGAGTTCGGGCAGTGAGTCAGAACCGGTTGGTGCGTATGTTTGATTTTATTCAGCTGGCGATACTGGGTGATCATCTCCGATTGTCTTCGGTGGGTAACTGCCTCATACATGCACACCACTGGACGTCGCCTAAGTGATTTGATGATTAATTCTTCATATATGAGGCTAGACTCCCATATTCTGGCTTCCACTAGAGTTTTGAATAGGTGATGTTGATTAGTCGTATACTTAAGTGAAACGGTCAACCAATCCTTTCAGGTTTTCAATGGTTATCTAACTTAAAACAATTCACGGTATCAAAAGAATTGAGTAATCTCCGTAAATCTCTATACTGGTTCTCACTGCATTTACTGATTTTAATCTTATTTTATGTGGTTCATTCTAAGAACCACAAAATTAGCTAAAAGAGTTTTACTGTTCTTTATTGAAAGACTGTAAGACGTAAGGTACTTGGAGGTAATCTTTAAAGAGTCGTATATATAGATTTGTTGCATGTTAAGAGTTATCAGTAAGGTGTATCCGTTTCTTTGAAGAAACTCATATTTTTTAGAAGATTAGACACCATATAACCATATGTTACATTCGTAACTGCTATTTAAATTTTGGTCGGGTTTATTTAGTGCTATTGACAAGTCCTGGGCAATAATTAGAATCCACCAAAAAAATCTATGTAGTATGGGTACTGATTTAATCGATTTGATATTTAAGTATGATATGATATTGTATTGAATATTGAGAGACAATTAACAGGAAACGTATGATAATGTTGACCAGTTATCCAAGAACTTTGAGACAAGTGGAAATATTACAAAGCTCAACTTTAAAAAAAAACAATAAACAGGGGAATTTTTCAGTGAGATATTATCAAGATTTTATATTTTACTTACGTTTATAAGCTTCTTTTATCTTCTTCAATTGATAATTTGTTCTAGTACATAGAATCTCAATCAATATAGATTCATTTGTACCAGCTCCTTTCATTGCTCTGTATAATTCACGGGCATCGAATTCATATGAACTTAAACACAATGCTTCCATAGTATCGTAAAAGTGTCCACTAAGTTCAGATTTGAAATGTTCAATTAAATCTTTTCCAAACATTGATTTATATTTTTTTACAAGAACTGCACGTTGATCTGCAGAACGATTACTAAATACTTCAATTAATTCTTTTTCTTTTGTCCCTAATCCTGCCATAGCATTTCTTAAGCGTTCACAATCATGTTCTGGATTGAAATTTGATGCAGGCATTACAGTTGGATGTAACTAAAAGTAATTAAACAAAACAAAAGAAAGTAAGAAACATTAAGAAAATTTAGATTACTAGATTTCAACTTAGTGGTATGAAATATCCCATATTAGTCATAGGGCCTTAAGCTACTGCATTCAATCCTTTGTTAGATCAATAGTCAGTACTGTTGCGAAGTCCAAAAAGTGAAAGAAACAGATGTTTAATACAAGATATTTCTTAATATTTCCCCCAATATACTGATTTGTAATAAAAAGCAAGTTTCAACTGATCTACATACATGAAGCTTATATACGATATATCATAAGACCTTTTAGGAATTATTTATTTCAAGCAGAACTGGATAGTGACTAGCAGTGTTTTGTACTATCTGAGACTTGATATTTGAATGTATCTGCATCCCAGTATTGATGCTCATACAGAAACATTGTGAGATGCGGAACCATGAAACAAAATTTTTATTTGGATTTTTAATTCGCTTCTTCATATGACTGATTTATGACCAATTATAGTATACAAAATATATGAATGTAATACTTTATCATAGAAGTAGTATATATATATATGATATTGGGAGTTAATGGTATAGATTAAAGTATGAGATGTAGCATAGAACTGCCATAGATTGCAGACATATTTATTCGTGCTTATAAAATAAGCATCATTATAGTTGTACTGGAGATCAGTTAGATAGTTGCAACTACTGGAACGTTTTTTGGTTGGACCAAACGACATTGTAAAAGAGAAAATCACATAATTAGTGTTGTTTACGATAATTATAAAATAGATGAATCACTAATTGTAAGAATTGATTAGTTGTCTATAGGCAAAGATGGATAGTGACTAGCAGTGGAGTCCAAGACGCGCGTTTCGTCCTATTTGAAACTCATCAGCTCAAGGTATCTGCATCACAGAGTTGATGTGCACTTTGGGACTCAAACCAAGTACCGTTCGTTTCAAACGTATGTCATGATTTCATCTATTGAAATTAAGATTTCGATAAATTTCGTACTGGTAGGAATATTTTGAATTTTAAATCAACACTGTTAAGATCATAACTTAAGGTCAATTCACAGGTATATTAAACGTTAACCTGGCGCAAAAAAACACTAAACATCAGCTAATAATCATGTATTTTTAGTACTGCTATATGTCTTCATCGCCATAAAACATTATTAGCAACCATTCACTGAATAAAAAGATCATTCAGATAAACCCTTAGATATCTACAAAAACCCGTATCTCGAAAGATCCTTCTATAAATCCATGATGTTGACAAGAGCTAATAAAGATGATAAATAAAAGGTAATAACAATGATATAATGACCAATGTGTTTGTATTTTCACTGCTGGGATCGAGTTTTATTTTATCTCATCTAGCTCATTTTTATAAGTAGGATCCTATCCATAACCTTCAGACAGATTGTGTCGTTCAAAGCTGGGTGTATAACCTAACGCTTGATGAATGAGTTATACTTAAACATGTATTGGTCAATTCACTAGTGATTTACTCCGATATATTTCTGTAATTCCAATCAGAAGTCATGATTGACAGATGTTCAAACATGTAAAAGGTGAAACAGTCATCACCAATTGAGCTAAATGATCATCACACTGTGTCGCAAATCAGTAGCGGTAAAAGTTGTATTTTTTGGACTTGAACCCGTGATCCTAGCGGTTAGGCGTTCATTGAGAGAGCCTTAGTGAAATGGCGGTTGCACTATTGAAAAATCATGATACAGTGTAAAACAACTGTCCAGTATTCCTTGGTTTTCAATGACATCTTAAATGAAATCAATCTGAGATGAAGATCACCTACCAACAAATGAGTTATACATCAGTATGTTAATGAATTGAAAGTCAGATTTCAGAGAAATGGTTTAACAAGATTTTTTTTAAAAATGATTAAGTCAACAAACTAATTAGCAATAAACATGATAAGGTATGTTTTTTGTAAGCAATGATGGATAGTGGCTAGCAGTGGAATCCAGGACGCGCGTTTCGTCCTATTCCACTGCTAGCCATTATCCATCATTGCTTATAAAAAGCTTGTGAATTAAGGCAATATCGAAGCATACGCACAGTATGCACATATGCCATTAACAGACTGATCAATTACAGTCTTAAACCTCAATGGGAATATACATGTCAAATAATACCAAGTGAAATGATAAGGTATGATTCTAATAAAAATAACATCAATTAAGATATAAATCAACTTACTTGTGAACCACATGATCCAACATTAAATCCTAAATTTCCAGCCATATTTCGTTAAATTCAACTGTAGTGGATCTCTGTTTATGAATAAATAAATATATCAAGAATAGAATCTGTGGTGAAAATAAAATTTCAAAAAAGCTAATCATAATCATAGAGGTTATATTGTAAAGTTATGATATAATCTTTACTAAGAAATCAGTTCAATAGTAAGTTTTAATGATGGTTTAATGATCACAAAGATAAGTTGTGTTTCTCAAATCTAGCTTACTAGATGATTCATACAAACACTGAAGAAATTTAATCACAATCGATTGATCACTGGGTGGTGATCAATGTCATGTGTCATGTCCATCAGGGAGTACCAGTTCCCCCAAGATTACAGGTACACCTTACTGATGAGTGCCAAGTAGCACGAAACCCGGATCCAAGATTTCCTGTCGACTACCTCCAACCAACATCTAACTGAAGAAATTTAATTTACAACTAAAACATATCTACAGTGTTTTATTTCAGAATATCTTTGAATATCTTAAATGATTATCAACTGGTTCTATATTGATCTAAGTAAAGATAGAAAGTATTCCTTTGATCAATATCCGAATATATCAGAGGTGAACTTATGGTACCTATCTAAATTACTACTGAAATTAGTAACTTTCTACTTCAATGAAAGATTATAGTTAATAAATTTGAATGTTTCATGTCAATTACCCATAAATAACTAAATGATAAACAATTATAATTTTATATTTTAATATAAACATTCATTTACCTATACAAAGACGTACAACAGGATACTTCAATTCTGTTTGTTCAAACAATTTAGTCATTAGAAATGAATATATATATATACAAAGTGATTATGCAATCATGTTATGTTTATTTAAACCAATAAAAATTAAGACATTAGATATTGAATGTTGATTTGTAATTCAAATCATTGATCAATAATTATAAAATAATCTTCTATTCTTATTGGTCTGTTTATTACAAGATATCAATTGATCTGTAGGAGAAGGTTCTTTGTTTAAATAAAACAATTTAACTTTAATAATTCTAATAATAGTAGTTTTTTTTATACAAATATTGGTTTAGCAATTAGTGAAATTCATAATCCCATCTAGCGAGATTTGAACCCAGGATCTATCAGTCTTGCTTGAGAGTGCTTAACCACTGAGTTAGCCAGCATCCAACGATGTTAATATCAAGCTTCAACCAATTTGAATCTTGTGGGGTGGGATCATGGACTCACCCTGATGAGGAGTCCTACAACAGGACGGAACGATCATTCAGTGCTTTCAGGTTTTCAATGATGGTCTAACATCAATCGGTTCATGATCTCAGTCAAAAACTTAATAATCTTCACAACCCTATAGTGATATTAAATTACCATAATATTCACGAAATCCCTCTTTGATTATAATAAGTGATATAATAATAACAATAGACACTTACCATCAAATATCTAACATCAGTTATATCATGTCACATGTTTCATGAAAAATTAACCAGTTGTCAAATGTTGTCTATTAGAAATGGTCATCAGTAATAGAAATAATCAAATAACCGCTTTATTCTATTTTGAAAATTCCCATTTAGACATTTGGTAAATAATGAAGGAATAAATTGAGCGAAGAGATTCCGCTCATCATGGCTCTACACTAATATATATATATATGATTTACAATAATGTAATAATAATCAGAAAGGGGTTTCGTGGATATTATAGCAACTTAATAGTTGAATTCATGAGCCGATTGACGATAGACCACCGTTGAAGACCTATAAGCACTGAAAGCTTGTTTCGTTCTAGTTTAGTGGCCCGGGATCTGATTCCAATTTGATCATATGATTGATCGTGAATGAGATATACATGTCGAAATACATATGTCACCAATTATTGTATATAATTATCGACTTAATTTGCGTTGGTGAATTACGGAATTAAATAAGTCAAATACGAGAATGGATTTTTGAACACGTACATTTTGTACAATCATTGATCTGGAGAGGCAATCACAGGGACGGAGCGAAGGAAGAGAAGCGAAATGACGCGCAGTGGAGAAGGCGTATGAGCCAAATTCATTTAATCAGGCGTTAACCCATATTTATAGTGATACAAAAATAAGCTACAGATATGTGATAAGATAAGATGTACACACCCATGCGCTCATATAAAAACAATCAAGGTTGATAAGTAAGTAATTATCAAGGTCAAAATGTGACTCAAGAAGAATGGATAAATTGGCCTGTCCGGAAGGTAGAATAAGTTAAATGGACTTAACATAGTAACCGACACTACACTAGTATGGAACTCCTCAAAAGTGGAGTTCACTGGAGTTCAATCGAATCTGTTGTGGAATAGTAAATCACTGAAGACACTGGTGGACTGTAGCGTAATTTCGTGGATTGGTTGAAGTTAGACATTAACCCCGTTGGATACAGGCTGAGTGGTTTGGAGATTAAGCGTTCGCGCGCGAGACTGAAGGCCCTGGGTTGTGTATGTGCACTGCTGAGGAGTCCCATACAATGACGAGACGCCCGTTAAGTACTTCCAGGTTTTCAATGGTGGTCTATCTTCAATCACTCATGAGTCCAACCATTAAATTACTATAATATCCACAAAACCTCTTTCTGATTATTATTTCATTATATATATATTAGTGTAGAGCCATGATAAAAAATGAACTGAAGCGAAATTTCTCCGCTTGATTCGTTCCTTCGTTATTCTATTTTGTCTTAACTCAAAGATTTTTCTATTCATATAGGATGGAGCAAAATACGTTGAAACATGTCTGCGAAATTCTATCCAGAAGGTATTAGTTTCATTTTTCACATTATTCATTCATTCTAATACAAAGCAATATTATTCAATTTTATTGAGAGCAAATTATGTAATCGTTTGAGTCATAAGATGATTATTACAATCTTGGTTTCTACAGTGGTTTATGTTTATATAACATATGAACTCTAAACGTTTCATCTAGAACTTTTAAATCAATGAACTATATTCCGAAAACTAAAATCATCAATTTTGAATAACTATTGGCATGCCAAAATAACGAGTTAAACTTTGGGTCAATCAGAAATTGGCCACATGATAAGGGACGTGATTGGCCAAGAAATGAATTCCATTTCTAAAAGACAAGACACTATTGTGGGCTTAGTTTTATAAAGGACATATAGATTTGTGGATAGCTGCACAAATGTTTTGATTCGGTTTAGCCTCTAAACATCCTTATTTACTCTCATTCTTTTCACTCCAATAGCCGGTTACCCACGTGTATGGGAAAGCTGCATATCAGCATCAACTCTCGGACACTTCACATCATAACGAGTTCCTGCAGTTAAGAGCTAGTTAAATAGCGATATGCTCCAAAATCTGAAATAACGTTTTCTCAGTTTGGAGCATAATTTTTTTTATTAAACTGATATTTCATATATATAGTTCCATTTATCATCTTTAAGAGAGCAAGAACAAAGATTTGGGTAGAATAGCAACCTCAAATAAAAGAATAACCATATGGAAGTTTTTTGGAAAACCATTCGAAGTTTATCTATAACTTGTGGAATACCAAGCTGAGTAATATAAAAACAAAAGCCTTTTCATTGGGACTTAAATTTTACATACTAAAAACAAGTACTGACAAGATTGATACGGAGGCTTAATTCAAAATTCATTTGACCCGGTAAAAGATATGCATCTAGTGAATGAGGGAAGGAAAGGCTGATTCAAATCAAAGCTAATTGATTTTGCCAGTCAATATTTCATTTCACTCACGTCAAAGCCGAATATTCTATCTAAAAGACACACAACAGCACTATGAAACACTAAGCAAATTAAGAAGTGATGATTTTATGTCCGAATAAACGTCCAGTTATTGTCCTAGTAAACACAGCTGATTACATCACCAAGATGAAGTCAATCTTGAATGGCTAACTGAGACTCATTCTAGACAAATGCGATAAGGATTCAAGAGACAAAAATCACTAGTATTCTTAGAAAAAAACCTAAGGAAGAAAATAATTGCTAAATCAACAGTGATCTAAGGCGTTTTGTCTGACATCTGACTCATATGTATGGCCTATCAATGGTGTGCAAACATGAATTTACCCTTAGGCCCATCCTATCAATGATCAACTCACCTTCCCCGAAAAGTTGCATGCCGTTTGGCAGACAGGCTTGAACCAGTCCTTCAGAGTTTAGCAGCATATGCATTCAAGATTCATTCGAATTTGCTGACAGATTAAAACATATGAATGTTTTTGATAGCTCTGTGGTTTCTTTAAATTTAACAACCTCGTTCACTGAAATATCACCTCTTGAAATCAATGACGTTTTTCGTCAGTGTTCTAATCTCCCTTATTTATCTGCAAGAATTTAAACAACTGCTACTTATGTTCAAAAAAGAAGTTCATTTTCAGTTCAATTACACTATATGCTGTCGAATTGGTGGGATAGTAATCGCAAGCCTACTAGGTTCAGTTACGGCACATATTTTTGTGGGTAATATTGAATACATGGAGGTTAAACAAGCGACTGATGAAATCACGGAATACTTTAGATATATTGATTATACGTTTATTATTTGGAACAGTAAATAGCACACAATCTACCTGCTAGAACTCTTCAACAAAACTTATCCCAACACACAATTTACTATCGAACACGAAAAGAATGACATATCACACTTAACGCTACCATACAACAGGGAAAAGATGAGACAGTTCAATGTTCAATCTATTGAAAAAGTACTTGGAATGGTCTTTTCTTGGACTTCAACAGCTTTTCCCAATCACTTTCAAGAGAGCACTGGCCAAAACACTATTTTATAGAGTAGAGAGGATATGTACCGCTGACAAACTGGAAGAAGAATTGATGAAAAATGGAGACAACTGCTACCCCTGTAAATTCACTGATAAATGTGAGAAAGCGGAAGGCAAAACAACGTAAGAACCGACGGTCAATGAAAAACCAAGATTTACGAGTCTCAGCTTCAAAGGTGATGACGTCAAGAGGCGGAAAGATTAACAATGCATTAGCCAGAACCTATTCTGCAAACAAACTGTTGATTCTGTATAAAACATTTTTAATAACCCAATTTAAAGTCAACAAGTGCGTTTTCATGTTACCGCAACTGTATCTATAAATTTAAATGTACCTGACAAGTTAACTGCACTGGCTGAACAAAAAGAGCACATCCTAGTTTCTTTGATCATATATCAAAAATCCTTTGAATAAGAGAAAGTACTTTTTTAAATGGTGCAATCACTAAACATCCCTTTGACATAACTATAAAACATAACCACTTGATCCTAGTCCTTTGGACTTTTGTTATTATCAGTGTTGCAGATATTTCTTTTAAATAAGATATATATTTAAAATATTTTATTCAGTCTATCACTCTGGCTATATTACACTGATATGTGGTCATAGCAACTTCTAATTAAATCTTTTCATGTAAGTAATTTAAACTCATTTTTAAATATTACAGGTTGTAAGCAGTAGATGAGAACCAAGTGAAATAAAATGAATTTAAATCTTTGTTCTTGCTCTCTTCAAGATGATATTGCTTGGTAAATGGAAACTATCTAATTTCCTATTGATAGAAATAATCTGTTTAAGATTATTCATATCAGGTGATAGGGAGGATTTTTCAGGTGATTTTCATGTTATTCCACCAGATAACTTCATCCATCTCAAATACCATGTGTATTTTTTCTGGTATGACCCTGGCTTACTACAATCACTCACACACTGATTATCTCAAACTTTAAAGTATTCTTGATGTAAATTCATCGCTGTATGAAAAGCTAATTATTTTCATTAGACTGCACACAACTGAAATCATGGATTTACATTTAGTATTTCGATTACATGAAAATGAATGCCAAGGGTTAGTTCAGGGAAGGAGAGATGAAGAGCTAGTTTTCGGGCATTAATTAGTAGGGACGGTTTTCGGAATGGAGTAAATAGCCGTGGCTTTAAAAATAATTAAATTGTTTAATAATTGAGTACATGAGTTAATTGAAGCTAAACCACCATGGAAAACTTGGAAGCACTGTACGGCCGTCTCGTCCCAATGTAGGACTTCTCAGAAGTGCGCGTCCACGATCCTGACCAGCAGGATCCAAACTCATGATCTTTCGATGACTGGCTTCAAGAGGTATTTATGGAAGTTTTAGTGAAAAGCAGTGACTAGTGGAGTTCTACCGGGTCTATTGCGAGATATCAAATCACTGAAGACAATGGTGGATAGTGGCGCAATGTCGGGTATAGGTTGAAGTAAGACACCAACACCGTTGGATGCAGGCTGTCTCGGTGGTCTGGAAGTTAAGCGCTTGCACACGAGACCGATAGGTTCTGGTTTCGAATCCCATGGGGCGGGATCGTGAAATGCTCACTGCTGAGGTGTCCCGTCCTGGAACGAAAAGACCGTCCAGTGCTACCAGGATTTTCACAGTGATCTAGCTTCAACTGACTCATGAACTCAACTATTAAACTACTTTAACATCCATAAAACACTTTTCTGATAACTACATTAATAACAAATGAACTTGAACTTTTCAACAATTAACAAAGCTTCGGAAAAAAGGTGGACCGATGAACCACGTTTTTAGTCAGTGAATCGCAAGCGATGGTTAATAATTCAATTAGTTTGTAAATTTTGACATTTTTCCCATATTACTGATTCGAAACGTAAAATTGCGTTACGATGGGCGCACTAACAAACACATAAGATATTCCTTCTTCTAATTAACACAATAATTTCACAGATCGAAATCATGAGTCAGTTTAAGCTAGACCACCATGCAAGACCTGGAAGCACTGGACAGTCGTTTCGTCCTAGTATTGGACTCCTCAGCAGCGCGCATCCACGATCCCGCACCCCGCGGGATTCGAACCCAGGACCAACTGATTTTGCGCGTGAGCACTTAACCATTAGACCAGTGAGCCGGCGCTTGGCGCGGGACTGATAGATCCTGGGTTCGAATCTCGCGGGGTACGGGATCGTTCATGCCCTGCTGAGGAGTCCAATACTAGAACGAAACAGCCGTCCAGTGCTTCCAGGTTTTTCATGGTGATCTAGCTTCAACTGACTTATGATTTCAATCTGTGAAATTTCTAAAATCTCCACAAACCCCTCCTGATAATGCAATAATTATACAAAGATTATGTTACTGCAACTGAACATTAAAAAAGGAGTCGATCTTTTAAGAGTTGTCCCAATTCTTTGATTTTGATAGTCTAATCTACAAAAGCTTAAAATATAGTCACGAGTTTACATAGAACAGATGGAATATTGTTAAAAGCTGGATCCAGAACATGCTTTTCGTCTTGTATGAGACTCGTTGGTTGGATGTACTTGCATCCCATAGTTAATGTTCACTCTGCAACTCCAGCTAAGTACCTTTAGTTTTAAACGCCAATTATTTATCCACTACCTACCGAGTTCAGACAATCTCCCACTTATGAAATAGGCATGAATTTTGATTTAACTTCTAGTGGTTTGGATTATACCGTCACTGACTTAAACCACCCAAGATTGATCAAATTTCAATCAGTATGT